AGTCATTATGCTTTGTGAAACGAAATTGTTCGAAATACAACTTGAAATTTTGATAAATACGGATAATTTTTCACACAAGCGTCACCACGGTCTCACTCTGACGTTTGTATCAATCGAGTTTATGCGCTATAAATTGATGTTATGTGCTATACATTGGTGTTATGTGCAAATATATCAATGTCGTAAACCGATACAACTAAAAGATAAACCGATACAACTAAAGGATGGGGAAACGGAAGTAAATACAAATAAAAGATGAGGAAGCGGAAGTAAATCGGAAAAACGGAAGTTGAGCGACGCGCGCCTTTGGCTTCCTAATACAGAAAACGTTTTTCGTGAATTGGTTGATTTAATAAGAAATGCTGAACAAAGTCGCACTCGTTGTGACTCTCCAGACGACAAAATCCTGAACATTTGGTACTCTGCTCTGTCTCTCTTCTGCGGCAGCCATGTTTTTCAATGTGTATTCACTAGCTTGACGCCACATGGCACGCGCGATTTTGCCGAGTCGCTCTACTTCCGTTTTTCCAATTTACTTCCGCTTCCTCATCTTTTAGTTGTATTTACTTCCGTTTTCTCATCTTTTAGTTGCATTTACTTCCGTTTCCTCATCTTTTATTTGTATTTACTTCCGTTTCCCATCTTTTAGTTGTATCGGTTTATCTTTTGGTTGTATCGGTTTATCTTTTGGTTGTATCGGTTTATCTTTTAGTTGTATCAGTTTATTTTTTAGTTGTATCGGTTTATCTTTTAGTTGTATCGGTTTATGACATTGATGTATTTGCACATAACGTCAATGTATAGCACATATAACATCAATTTATAGCGCATAAACTCGATTGATACATTTCGGATATTTTGTTCGCTAAAAACTTCATAGATTGTTGAGCATCGGCGTGCAATAATTGGCAATTTGCAATAATTGGCAATTGACACAGTTTAATAGTGCTTAGTGGCAATCACAGTGTTTCAGATATGAAAATGCAGAGCCCTCTGTCCCATTTCTGGAAGCGACGATAGCCACAAAAGACATGAAATGCGCCTCATTTCCAAACATGGCACTATCTACCTCTATGGCATTAATGAACATTTTTTCCCTTTTTTAACAGATGTCAAAATTGGCCAATCACACAGATTGTTTACGTTTGCAAATTTACTTGTTAAAACGAAATAAGAGGCGGGCCATTAGGGCCGCCCCTAATATAGATTGGTTTAATTAAGTTTGCAAAGTCTGTGGGAATAGCGCTAGGCGTAGGGCAAGAGACATCGTCGTCATAAGTAGTTTGCAGTCCGTGTGCGAGAAAGCTACGAAATATTGTAGATACGTACAAATATAATTAGTTTCAACCGTGATGTCAAATGTTAAAGTTTCGAGAGATGCAGGGAAGAGAAAGGTGTCTGAAGCCGTCACTTCAGAGAGAGCAAGTCCTGTTCATAACTCCATATAGCATTCACAAAAATTCTCGTCTGGCCGAAAATGATTAGCTACAAAATCATGAAGAAAAAATCTATCTGTCGTCGATGAAAACGAACACGCTCGTGAAAGAGACGCTGCTAACAGACAGCAATCCAACAAAGACACCACATGCAGTCAGTTTCTCTAGAGCTTCATGAACAAATTTCGTAAATACCTTTATTGTTCAACCGTAAATCGTGGCCTTTTAAGCTATATATATATATATATATATATATATATATATATATATATATATATATATATATATATATATATATATATATATATATATATATATATA